GGGGGGGGGGGGGGGGTGTTTCTCGCATTATGGGCTGTATCTTAATTATTATTTTCCACAAGAAGATGTTTTTTTTAAGAAAGAATTACAAGAAAATATATATGACTTCACACCATAATAAAAAATGGCCCATGTTTTTAAGTTTTACCCTACGTAGCTCATATTGTACATATTTTGAAAGCACTGGCAAATTCAAAATCTGTGTTCTTATAATCATTGCTTCTAAAAGCTATGGAGTTAAATATGTATTCTCACAACCATTGTTTTTACTCTCTCTTCTTCTCACATCTTCTACATATGCTTCAAGGGGTTGAGTATTTTCTGCTTCTCCGCATGTGTCACCTGGTTGCAATGTAAGAAAAATTGAAAAGTAGAAGTCCACCATTGAAGGCCATTCAAAGCTTTGCTTTTGAAAATATGATTTTTTGAGTTTGTTAGTTGTTTGGATTGGGTGTTTTTCCAATTGATTGCAAATATCAAAAGGAGTTCAAGATTTAAATTTGAAGTAATTTGGAGTAGATTTGAACAAGATTTGAGTTAAATTTCAGAAAAGACGCAAGGAAGAAGACGAAGTCATTTTTTTGTATAATTTTATATAATCTTGTATAATAGTGTATATGAGTGTACAAACACATCTTATACACTATTATACACTTTTATACACCTTTATACAAACGTCTGTAGACGAACTTCTTCCACGATTTTCAGTTGCAATTCTTGTTCAAAACCAGTCCAAATCTCCATTAAATGACTTCAAATTTTATATACAACCTCCTTATACTATTTCGAACAAGTTTAAATAATACCCACTCCAAAATTCTCACGAAATCAAATTTGGAATTTAAACTCACATATTTAATCTTGTTAAAAATCTAATTTTCACTACTCAAGTGGATTTGGTTTGTTGAACTAATATTTGAGTCACAGTTACTGATTCAAAAGTTAACTTAGAAGCTTGTAAATAGTAATTTCGAGAACCTATTGGAGTCGAATATTGAGTATTAGCCTATTATTTTTGGGCTACTTGCTTGTAAATTGAAATATGGGATATAAAATTGAAAAGTAGGGAGCCCAGTTGTACTTACTTCTTACCTCTTTCCCTCAGTCAGAGGTCTCTGGTTGGAGCCCTGGGTATAGAAAAATCCTTGGTAGGGGGCGCTATTCCCCGAATGAGGCCCTACCCAACCAAATCTGGATATAATCGGGCTCCAATGCAGTGGGTGGGAAATCAAAAAAAAAAACTTTTTACCTCTTTGTTTTTCTAATCCCACTTTTGGGAGTATCCTATTGAGTATATAACGTAACTTCGGTGAATGCAGGTACTTGTTGAAGAGATTGCGGAATCCAGTGGTCCGGCATAGCTTTCGTTAAGGCAACAAAATAGCGCACTTTTTGTGTAAATTGGGTTCCAAACAACAACATCCAACCTCTACTACAACTATTTTGCACTCACCTCCGGACCCAGTCAAGAGGATGATCCAAGAAGACAAAAATGAAGTATCTACTATTAGACTAGTATCAAGCTCCATATGTAATACACTAGCAATGTTTGAAAACCTAAGTATTATTCCTACTATTACTAATAGTGATGTAATGCCTCCGTAACCTCTATTAATGAAAATTATCCTTTTCTCCAAAAAAAAAAAAAAATATATATATATATATATATATATATAATGTAACTGCCAAATTAACATATCTGGAACTAAAATAAAAAGAGAATCTAACTTTAGCAAAAGGGCAAAAACAAACTATTGAATCTTATTAATTAATGACCAATATAATACTTAACGGGAACTATATCAAATAAAAGACACATATCGCACGGCTCAAAGCTTTAAGATTAACGTGGTTGAAGTTTGTTCTTCGAGGTGAATCAAGTGTGCCAAACTAAAATAAATGATATATTTTTATTTTGAAATTATTAATATTTTTTTTGGCTATTGATTTCAAGGGATTCCACCTCTATTTAAAGAGGGGTTTAACAAAGGAAACTCTTGAAGACGTAGAGTTGGCAATGGCTTTTCAAAGATCCTTCTCCCTAGGCCTTTTCGTATTGGTCGACTTCTTTGTTTTGTCTGTTTTCTTTGTAGCTGCAGATATGGAAAGCCATGAAATTCCATTACCATTCAATCGTACCCTTTTTTCAACTGATTTCCTGTTTGGAGCTTCCGCTTCTGCTTATCAGGTTAACGTTTACACTTCAGACGTGACCTTTACTATAGGATATTACTCTTACGTTTTTCCCTCCCCATATGATTATGCAAAAATTAACTGTTTAAAATGTCGTTATTAACAGATTGAAGGTGCATGGAATGAAGATGGTAAAGGCCCAAGTATATGGGATACCTTCACCCACAAGCATCATGGTCTCTTTCTTCTCTCTTTTTGTTTTAAGCCAAATTCTTCTTTATTTGTCATTTTTCCGAATTATTGATCTTATTTTCTGATGGGTTAAAACGGTCCAATGATACTCTTAACATGATGTGATATTGTACGTTTTGGGCCAAGCTCGCACGGTTTTCCCCAAAATGCCTCACACCATTAAGAGATCCTACACTTTAATGTAGACTCCAAATATTTTGAGCTACCAATGTGAGACTTTGTTCGCACACCCAATATCTTCTGACACGCATCATTTCTTTAGCTCATTCCTTTTTTCAAATCTATACCTTTATGTCTTTTCGTTTCTACTATTCTTCAGTTTTATGTCTCTTCGTTCTTTTTTCATGTGTCCAGAGTATGTAAAGCCACTAAATCAAATCTCATTCCATCAATGAAGAGATTATTCAGAGCCACTATATATATCGTTCCTATACTCTAATCATCCAATATCAAAGTAGAAAAGTCGCCTTTTTACTGGGATTTTGCTACTTGCTTAGGATAGCATTATACCTTTGAGAAAATTTTGCATAATTAGTCAATTAAACAAAAAAAAAATCAGAACATTTCCTCCGAGTCAATAACTCAACTCAAATGGTCACTCAACTATCTCAAATTATCTCCTAAAGTCACTTTTCTTTCGTTTGTAACAACAAAGTCACTGAACTATGCCTATTGCACTCAGAAGGTCACTCAACTATATTTTCCAAATTTTGGATTGCCAAATACCTATTTTACCCTCTAAATTATAAATATTTATCTTCTTTTATTTATTTTTTTAATTTTTAATATTATGATTTTCCTTTTTTAATCTATATTATGGACTTACCTATAGAATAAATAAATATTATTATAAATTAAAAAAATAAAAATTATTTAAGCATCTAAATGCTGGAATAAAAAAATAATGAGCATCGTAAAAGAATTAATTAGAATAATTTATTTGTAATAATAATATTAAAACAACAAAAATTCAAAAATTTATTTACACGATTCAGATGAAAGAAAATAAAGGTTGTAAAATATATATTCCATGCACGTAATATAAAAATAATTATTTAAATAAAAGTATTTTTATAATATACATTATATACTCTTGAAAATTATGCTCAATTATATTATATATATTCCATGCACGACTTAACATAACATATTTTACCCTATACAGATAGTCCCCCTACTTTCCGGTGATATAATTTTGTGTTGTCGGAAAGTTAGTAGAAACATAATAATATAATTGAACATAATTTTCAAGAATTATATTATAGAATTACCTTTATTTAAATAATTATTTTTATATTAGGTGCATGGAATATATATTTTACAACATTTATTTTCATTCTGAATTGTGCAAATATATTTTGAATTTTTGTTGTTAATACTAAAATTATTATTACTAACAAATTATTCTAATTAATTTTTTTTACTATGCTCATTATTTTGTTATTCCAGCATTATATATGTTTAAATACTTTCTATTTTTAATTTATAAATAATATTTATTATTCTATACGTAAGTGTAGGCATACAAAATTTATTGGATTTAAATCCATAAAATTAATTTGGACTATATTTTAAATTCAAGATATATTGGTCCAAATAAATATTATGGGCTAATATAATTGAATTAATATATAAGTCCAACATATATGGATTAAATAAAAAAGTCTTAGTCCATTGGGCTAGCCCATTTAATTGGGCTAAAGTGATGAGCCCATTTCATTAAGCCCAAGATGTCATCTTCCTAGAGGCCCAGTTTGGTGCCACGTGTCAAATGACGTGGCACGCCAAGTCAAACGGAAGAGCCAATAGGACCGTGCCACGTGTCAAAATGACAAGGCATGCCCAGTCACACTGAAAGGCCAATGAAATCGTTCCACGTGTGCAAGTGACATGTTCTGGCCAATCAAATGCGGCCATGTCACCCTTCAATTTGATTGGTCGGAAAGAGTTTGTTCTTATCATGACTCTTCCCTTCCACAACTATAAATAGGGGTCTTCATAACTCAGAAAAAGACCAGAAGTTATAACAAGAAGCAAGAAAGAGCTCGTGGGTCAAACGCTGCAAATTCCTCTACAAGTTTCAAGCTTCAAGTTCAAGCTCAAGAACGAAGAACGAATCAAGGTCAAGTTCAAGCAATCAATCTCAAGCTCAAAAACAAGATCATCGTTCGTGGAAACAAATATAGATTCAAGATCAAGCTCAAAGGCCCTTGAATTTATTTACTATTGAAAAGAAGAATCAGAGGATTCATAGAGATTGTAACACTCAAATATTCGAAATAAAATACTACGCTTGTTGCAATATTTTTCAGTCTTGATTTTATTTTCTCGACGCAAATTTATTGTCTACAGTAAGTCCATAATATAAATTAAAAAGAGAAAATCATAATATTAAAAATTTTAAAAAAAAATAAAAAGAAGATAAATGTTTATAATTTAGAGGGTAAAATAGGTATTTGGCGATGCAAAATTTGAAAAATGTAGTTGAGTGACCTTCTGAGTGCAATAGGCATAGTTCAGTGACTTTGTTGTTACAAACAAAAGTAAAATGACTTTAGGAGATAATTTGGGATAGTTGAGTGACCATTTAAGTAATTGACTCCATTTTATTTGATGGTCAGAGGCGAATTGAAAGTTAAGCAGTAAAAATTCTAAAAATTTGTAGGGAAAAACAGAGATATCTTCTACGATGCTCATAATATATATGTGGAAGTATCGACATAATTTCATAGGTCATTCGCTCGGAATGCAACACGATTTCGGTGTTGTACAGCTCAAGATTTAATGGATTCATGAAAAAGGTTAAGATCTTTATTAGTTCACTGAGATGTCTATCCAAAATGTTCAATCATATACTTTTAACAAATGCCAGCCAATAGTTGTAAATCGAATGGTCCTAATAATTAATTGTTTCATTTTTTTCTTTTAATTGGTTGTACTTTTTTGGGTTGGATTAATTTGCTGTGCTTAAATATCCTTCAGTGCTTTCAACATCTCTTTCGGAAAATTTGTTCTTTAATGTTTATTACTATGAATTAACTCATGCAATTGACCCTTTATATTTCACGAGATTTAAGCTAAGTGATCAATGTGGACTAATATTGTAAAATATATGTCATTACTGTTTTGATGCGTGAAAACAATGCTACTTTTGGTGTAATTTCTGAGTATTTAAGAATTTATTTTTTGTTGAATTTAACTTGTCAAACTTGCCTTTGACAAGCAAAAATTGTTAAAAATCTACAGAAGAATCATAAGAAATTTACGAATTAGAAATGATTTAGTGGGCATTTGGACATAAAAATTGTAACATTCTGGAAAAGTGGGAAAAATATTCAAGTGAAATGGTATTTAAAATTAGAGTTGACTTTGGACATGAATACAATTCTGTGTTCTTTTTGAATTTTTGTGAGTAATCTGAATTAACTTTTTGAAAAATAACTTATTGGAGTTTTTCAAATTTTTAAAAAATTTCAAAATCGATTTTCAAGTGAAAATTGAAAATGTTATGGCCAAATACTGCGAAAAAAAAATTTAAAAAAAAGTAAAAATTATTTCATGGCCAAACAGGCCCTTAGTATTACCCTTTTCCATCACTCCTCGTACTAAATCAACCCACTGAAATGCAAATAGGTATCACCGTATCAGTATCACAAAGATTATAGATTTATATATATATATAATGTAACACACTTAGAGAATTAACCCAGAGGGGGTGCGCTGACCCATCGAGTGTTTTTACTACGATTTAAGTCCCATTTGGGTTTAGGGCCGATAGGCTTCTAGAGTACTACCGTAACGTCGATGTTACTGGTAGATGTTATCGTGAGGAGCGCAAGAGGGCGACGCAGAGGCGTTGGGGTTTTTCAGTCTATTTTTAATTTTTTTTATTATATTATTTATATTAATATATATTATATATATATATATATATATATATATATATATATATATATATAATATAACTATTAGTAAATATCTTCTGAATACGGTGATACCTATTTGCATTTCAGTGGTTGATTAGTACGAGGAGTGATGGAAAAGGGTATACTAAGGGCCTGTTTGGCCATGAAATAATTTTTACTTTTTTTAAATTTTTTTTTTCGCAGTATTTGGCCATAACATTTTCAATTTTCACTTGAAATCGATTTTGAAATTTTTTAAAAATTTGAAAAAACTCCAATAAGTTTATTTTCAAAAAAGTTAATTCAGATTACTCACAAAAATTCAAAAAGAACACAGAATTGTATTCATGTCCAAAGTCAACTCTAATTTTAAATACCATTTCACTTTAATATTTTCCCACTTTTCCAGAATGTTACAATTTTTATGTCCAAATGCCACTAAATCATTTCTAATTCGTAATTTCTTATGATTCTTCTGTTAGTTTTTAACAATTTTTGCTTGTCAAAGGCAAGTTTGAAAGTTAAATTCAACAAAAATAATTCTTAAATACTCAGAATTACCCAAAGTAGCATTGTTTTCACGCACAAAACAGTAATGACATATATTTACATATTATGTCCACATTGATCACTTAGCTTAAATCTCGTGAAAATATAAAGGGTCAATTGCATGAGTTAATTCATAGTAAATAACATCTAAGAACAAATTTCGAAAGAGATGTTGAAAGCACTGAAGGATATTTAAGCACAGCAAATTAATCCAACCCAAAAAGTCAACCAATTAAAAGAAAAAAATGAAACAATTAATTATTAGGACCATTCGATTTAACAACTATTGGCTGGCATTGTTAAAAGTATATGATTGAACATTTTGGATAGACATCTCAGTGAACTAATAAAGATCTTAACCTTTTCATGAATCCATTAAAATCTTGAGCTGTACACACCGAAATCGTGTTGTCGTCCGAGCGAATGACCTATGAAATTATGTCGATACTTCCACATATATATTATGAGCATCGTAGAAGATATCTCTGTTTTTCCCTACAAATTTTTAGAATTTTACTGCTTAACTTTCA